ATCACCTGCTATCAGATCGAATGAACAAAGCTCTGATACCAATTGACGCAGTGCGGAAGTGATAACATCAGAATCCTCCAAGGGTGTTCTCTAAATCCACAAAGAACGATCTCTGAATCCACGAAGAACTTCGAATCCACGAAGAAAATATTAAAAGAATAATTTTATTGATGAAAAGATATTGTTCTTTGGGGTTACATGACTCTTCTTAAATAGAAAAGTAAATAATACTCCTATTAAGACTAGAATTACAAAGAAATAGAAAGTATCAAATTCTATCATAAAAAGACTCATTATAATAGAGAAAACTCCCTATAATAGAGGAAACAAATCATGAATCAAAATTAAATTTGTTTCCTGATCTAATTTGACTCTAGTATTGAATTTATTTCCTAATCTAAATAGACTCTAATTTTATTACTAAAAATAAACTAAAAGCTGATTATTTTTGGATTTCAGCCAAAATTGGGTATTATTGATGAGATTTTTAAAAACTGACAATCTAGTTGGCTCTGTCTCGTCGAAATAGGCGATTTACATATATAATATGCCAGAATTCACCTTCCGGATTAAAAAATATGATTTCTTTTGCGGAAGTTAATAATACGTGTAGCTCATGATTCTCCGAATCCTCCATGAAATTGTCCGTTAAGCGTCCTACATTACTAATCCTATAATCCCAACAAGTTAGAGCATCGGTCTTAACTATGTTTATTTGTTAGATATAGCTCATGACACATAGAGTACATATGCCTTCTAATCGAGTTTGCATAGCTCGTCATGTCATTTTTTATGAGTATATCTTCCCTTACTCCGAACATACACAAAAAAAAGTTGTCCTTTGCGCCTAGCTTACCCACTAATGTTACCCTCTCTCTTATCTATGATATGTCATCGCTCTCAACTCCCAGTTCCTCTCCTCCCTCTTCCTCAGGTCAGTCCACCACCTCCTCCTCGGATCAATCCTCTTCCTCCTCAAGTTCTTCTTCACCTACCACTCCTAACTTATTGGACGATCTAACATGGAGGCCTCCCCCTCGCCGTCACAGCCATAAATGATGCTCCTTTACAAGTACACTCTACAGTTCTCCAACACCTTAGAATAGCCGAAGCTAAAACTCACGCTACGATTACCCGAGCCCAAACCAACAATCTCAAGCCAAAGCCTTAACCTCCACACACTATCTTCTTGTCTCACAGCTTCAACGATCCTACAACCTAAATCATATACACAAGCTACTCCTTCCAAAATGGCGTGCCTCTATGGATTGTAAGTATCAAGCTCGAATGAAACCTAGACCTTAGTATCCGCACCTCTGACGCAGCGCGGAAGTGATAACCTCAGAATCCACTAAGGGTGTTCTCTGAATCCACAAAGAACGATCTTCGAATCCACTAAGAACTTCGAATCCACGAAGAGAATATTGAAAAGAGAAATTTTATTAATGAAAAGTTATTTTTTCTTTGGGGTTACATGACTCTTCTTAAATAAAAACAAATAAGACTCTTAGTAAGACTAGAATTACAAAAATAAAAAATATCAAATAAGACTCCTAGTAATCCTAGAATTACAAAAAAAAGTGTCAAATTCTATCCTAAAAAGACTCTTTATAATAGAGGAAACAAATCATGAATCAAAATTAATTTTGTTTCCTAATCTAATTTGACTCTAAAATTGAATTTAATTATTTCCTAATCTATATTTCCTAATCTAAATAGACTCCAACTCAGATTAAGCGTCCTACATCAGTCTTCTCTTGTTGAAAGAAGCTCGATCTCGAGCTTATATTTGTTAGAATAGTAGCTTCATTGATAAATAATTTTCTTCTCTTGCAATGATCTGCATCCGCCTTATATTTAGCGTTGATTTCTCTATATGTTGTTTTGTCTCCTCTGCTAGGGCTTTTTCTGTATAAAACTCGTGTATGAATCTTTCCCATGACATGTGTATGTAATTGGCAACATGTGGCTCTGTAGTTGGCATGAAAAACTTTTCTAAATATATTCCCTGTTGCTTTCTATATTCTAGTGTCGGCGGTATCATCTCATTATTGCTAAAATTATTGATGATCATTGCTTCCAAAAAAGAATTTTCTCCCTTATACTCCATACATAATTCTTTCATCTTCTTTGCCTCGAGCCCTCCACCAAGCAATTCACACATACCATCAATTGTCTCACTCTCTATTTTATCCTTCTCCTCTATCGGGACAACATCAATATGTTGAATATCACTCTCAACCACTTTAAGAATATCATGCATATCATCCATCTTCACTATCATATCACCATCATGCATTTCATGCATATCGAGTGTTTGCACCTTAGGAGGAATTTCGGTAGAGGCGGATTCTTCTTTTTCAGTTACAACCAAGTCACAGACCTCTTCAGATTGCTTCAAGTTTTCTGTTAAAGCATCGTTGTTTGTCACGAAGAGTTTCTTCTTCTCAATAGTCTTTATCTTAGATGGCTCATTTTCTGTAAGAGGCTTGAGCACAATTAGTCGTCCATCTTTCTTGAAGATATAAACATTGTCTCTGCTCCTATGGGTAGCTCCATTATTGAATTGCCATGGCCTACCTAAAAGCATATGACAAGTATCCATCTCGACAACATCACACAAAGCCTCATCAACATAAGTTCGACCGATAGAAAAAGATATTCGACACACTTCATCGTTCTGCACATCATTGCCCTTGTGAATCCAGTCGAGAGACAAGGTTCCTTCCACTGTGACTGTCAATAATAATATTACAAATCTTCTGCATCACAGTACATCTCATACGAAAGATATTGTGCTCTGGAGGTGGTTCTTCTTTCTTTATTACTTCTTCACTGTTCTTCCCAACTCTAATGTCTTGCTTAAGATCATTGTCCCTGTTGAATTTATCATATGGAGTCGGATCACGTCGTTGGCGACCATCAACGTGATTTTGAACTCCTGCCGTGTTCAGACGCTCTACCGCCATCGTAAGTCGCTCTATGGCAGCCCTCATCTGATCACCATTGGTCTTCAGCTGATCTACGTCGGATCTCAGCATGTCGAACTCAGTTCGAGGAATAGGGGCTTCATCACCTGCCATCAGATCGGAGGAACAAGGCTCTGATACCAATTGACACAGCACGGAAGTGATAACCTCGGAATCCACCAAGGGTGTTCTCTAAATCCACAAAGAACGATCTTCGAATCCACGAAGAACTTCGAATCCATGAAGAAAATATTGAAAAAAGAAATTTTATTGATGAAAAGTTATTTTTCTTTGGGGTTACATGACTCTTCTTAAATAGAAAAACAAATAAGACTCTTAGTAAGACTAGAATTATAAAAATAAAAAATATCAAATAAGACTCCTAGTAATACTAGAATTACAAAAAAAAAAGTGTCAAATTCTATCCTAAAAGACTCCTTATAATGGAGGAAACAAATCATGAATCAAAATTAATTTTGTTTCCTAATCTAATTTGACTCTAAAATTGAATTTATTTTCTAATCTAAATAGACTCTAACTCAGATTAAGCGTCCTACATTAACCTCCCTGTGCTAACATTGTAGGTTGTATGTGGGTTTTCTGGATCAAGCATATATAGGGCAGATGCAAGTGTTGAGCAGTTCAAAGCTTGGTTGGTTGCCAAGGGGTCCAATCAAGAACCTGGTGTTGATTTTTTTTCGAAACATTTAGTCTGGTGGTTAAGCCAACCATGCATGGTTCACTTTGTGCTAATTAATTAATTTCGCTGTCATATGAGCGGCCCATTCACTTATTTATTTGATAATGTGGTCAGTCTATCACTTATTTATTGGTATATGCTGATGGTCTCATCCTCACCGGCAATGGTTCTCAGTTCCTGCACGAGTTTACTAGCTCTCAACTCTAAATTTTTTTCTAAAATATTTGGGTTCTTTAAAATATTTTTTGTGCATCCAGGTCACTAACATTAAGTAGGATATGCTTTTATCTCAACCCAAGTATGTTGGTGATTTATTAATTGCAACGAGTCCAAATGGATGGCTCTAAACCGATCTCAACACCGGCGGAGGCCTCGTCTCATCTCACTACATCGGTCAAGCACATGGCGCCTGATCCATCATTCTGTCATATTGTCGTCGGGGCGCTATGATTAGAGTTGTTTTGCTATTGTAACTAATGTAGTCTATACACTTGTATAAAAGACCTCAACACGTACGATCGGTATATATGAGTTTGATTTTCTCGGAAACTTTATCTAATGTTATCAATCACCCCCTCGCTCCACTTAAAACACTCCTCCTCGCGGTCCGTCATCGCCTCACTTATTAAAAATGTAACATTTAATAACCAAAGGTAGTAGTTTATAAATAAAAATGGGATTTTAAAGCACAGTTTGCGGGCAGAAAAGGTAATACTATTATAAAACAATTTTATATTAAAAAAAGATCGTATGTACAACAATTAACAGTCTTATGAACCAATGTAAAAAAATGAGGGGAAAAAAATGACATTCTCATAATAAATATCACCGGAAAAAGAACGCACCTATTGTTGAAAATTATTACGAGTCAACAACATGCAAATTAAAATAAAACTTTCAAGATGAGTGGAAGCTTCTCTCTCGGTGCGTCCGAGGCGGCCAACCACACTACTGATTTCTTAAGAGTAGACAGTGATCCTCTGAGAAAACCTACTGGCGCCGCAGGATTTCAATATTCCGCAGAACGCGATTAGAGTACAGTATTTGACTACTAATTAAGCGTCTGCGTCCAACAGTGAAACGTAACCAAAGAACTAGCTTTTTTTTCACCAGCACGATGTGACATTTGGAAACACGACAACGCAAGAGACGTGCTTTGAAATAACAGCAGCAAAATTTAATTTCGGTTTTAATTCCATTTTCAGCTTAAACCCTGATTGAAGCACTGCATGCAGAGATCGACCACTAACTTGCAGACATCTTAATCATTTACGTACCTGGAAACAAAAAATGGCCGACGATAACCGCAGCCTGCACGTAGTAGTATTCCCATGGCTAGCCTTCGGTCACATGCTCCCATTCCTCGAGCTCTCCAAAGCCTTAGCCGAAAAAGGCCACAGAATCTCCTTCATCACCACCCCAAGAAACCTCCGAAGACTCCCCAAACTCCCCTCACAGCTCTCAGACCTCATCGACCTCATCCCTCTCCGTCTCCCGCCGACCAAGGGCCTGCGAGAGGGCGCCGAGGCCACGGCCGACCTCCCGCTCGAAGAAGTCCCGTACCTCAAGAAAGCCCTCGACTCTCTCGAGCAACCCTTTCGCCAATTCATCGAACGGGCCTCCCCAAAGCCCGATTGGATAGTTCAGGACTTCATCCAGCACTGGATACCCGAAATCGGCGCAGAGGCCGGCGTGCCGACCATCCATCTGTCCATTTTCTCGACGGGCTTTTACGTCTTCAGTGGACGATCCCCTTCCCTTCGAACCTCTGCTACCGGCTACACGAGGCACGAAGGCTCTTCAGCGACAGCTTTACTTCGAACGCATCGGGCATCTCCGACTTCCAAAGGATCAAGCTCGTGCTGGATGGCTGCAAGGCGGTGGCTATTCGGAGCAGCATGGAACTGGAACCCGAATGGTTGGAGCTGCTTCCGAAGCTTTATGACAAGCCCGTCATTCCCATAGGTCTACTTCCGCCTCCGACGACAACCATGGAAGGAAGCCGTGGAAGCGGAGGAAACGACATCCTCGATTGGCTTAGCGAGCAGAGATCGAGGTCCGTAGTATTCGTCGCTCTCGGAACTGAAGTTGCCCTGAGCTCGGAGATGCTGCACCAATTAGCTCTTGGACTTGAGATATCCAAAGTGCCATTCGTATGGGCGTTCAGAAAGCCCGCTGGTTCGCTGAACCACGAAGGCTTACTGCCCGAGGGGTTCGAAGAGAGGTGCAAGAGGTACGGGATTGTCGCCAGGGGATGGGTGCCGCAATTGAAGATACTGGCTCATGAATCTGTTGGAGGATTCTTGACGCACTGCGGATGGGGTTCGGTGGTGGAGAGCCTCCATTTCGGACTCCCGCTTGTTATGCTGCCTATATCCGTCGATCAGGGGATCAATGCGCGGATGATTATAGAGAAAGGGATATCGGTTGAGATCGAACGAAATGAGGAGGATGGGTCGTTCACGAAGGAGGCGGTGGCGAAGGCGCTGAGGGGGGTGGTGGTGGAGGGAGAAAAATATAGAAAGAGAGCCGGAGGATTGAAAGATGTTTTCACTGATAAAGATCGGCAGGAGAAGTACGTGAATGCGTTTGTTCGGTATCTGCATGAATTATGATATTGGAAGCTGAGAAGAATATCGATAATTTGAATGCTGTCTCTGAAATTCGTAGTATCCACGATATTGTGTTTCTAGCTATTGTCGATGTCTGCCATTATGTTTATGTTTTTTTCTGATAAATCACGGACCCCATGTATTGGGATGTAGACTATTTCAGTCTTGTGCACAGTCCATCGTTGTAAATGTACCATAATCATCGAGAAGCACTAAGCCAGTATCTTTCAATCAGAAACTTCGGAGAACAAACATCTGAATTCACGAGAACATTACAAAAGTTAACAATGAACTATAACAAAATGCAGATCAACAACAAAAAGGAGGAAAATAATATGAGACCACAAGCAAATCCCAAACTGAAAAACTCCCAACAATCTAGTAATCTTCTCCCTCTTCACCATCATCATCAGCACCCTCTGCTCCAACTTCTTCATAGTCCTTCTCAAGGGCAGCCAGATCTTCTCTTGCCTCTGAGAACTCCCCTTCTTCCATACCTTCACCCACGTACCAGTGCACAAAGGCGCGCTTTGCGTACATGAGGTCGAACTTGTGGTCGATACGTGAGAACACTTCGGCTACCGCGGTGTTGTTGCTGATCATGCAGACAGCACGTTGTACCTTTGCGAGATCACCGCCAGGAACCACAGTTGGTGGCTGATAGTTGATTCCACACTTGAAACCAGTCGGACACCTAGCATAACCCAAAACCACATGACGATCATAAATTTACACCATGTGAATAGTAATGCAGCTTTGCCTCAAAAGTCATCATATGACTGTGCGAACCGTTGAAAACATACTAACTTTGCACTTTCTATGCTCAAGCTCATTTACAACGTAAAGCATAGGACAAATGACCAAGGCCTCCAGATACTATATTTGCTAAACCCAAAGTATAAGGACCTTCCAAATGATGCTTAAATTACAAAACAAAAAATCAAGAAAAAATGACAGCCCATCTACTCCCCAAATGAGCTACGAAAGTAAATGTTCATCCATTGTCAAAGCATTGGCTAAAGGATTAGAAAATAGTGGCATAAATACTGAATAACACATACACCGTGTTGTTTGCAGTGTATAAATACTGAAACTACAAGCAGAACTCTAAGAGTTGTTGACATTATTGACATTAGTAAGACACACGATGACTCCATTGACAATTTACTACAGTAGGATCGATCATACATAAAGATGTCAAAATTGATGCTGGATGGTTGTAACATACTTCCAAAGCACACTACGTTGCTATAAAACTTCCTAGATGTGAAAGCCATGTTTGGATTGGGTATTATTACTAGTTAGTAGTTAATAAGCCTTTATCCATTAAAATAATATAGTGAGCAAGGTTATTGATAGCCGATAGCTTCACATAGCAGTGAGCTACCGCTAAGGTTATTTGTGCCTATAGCGGCAAATAGCACATAGTCAAATAACGGTCCAATTTAAATATATTTAAATATTCTAAAAAATAAGAAAAATCAATGCAAGGACAGGGCTTCATTGAGGAAATGGAGCAAAGGCAGTTGGAGGATCTGGAGAGGAGAGGAAATGGAGATGGAGCTCGTCGGGGAGACTGGTGTTTTCTGTAGCGTTGAGGAGAGAGCTCGTCGTGGAGTTGGAGGATCTAGAGTGGAGGCAGAGGAGGTGGAGTGGTGGTGGAGGGAGGTAGCGGAGCTGGAGTTCGCCGAACACGAAAGAGAAAGAAGCAGAGTTCCGGTTAGGATGTTTAAGAAAGAGGCGGAGGCAATCGAATGCAGAAGAGAGAGAGAGAGAGAGAGAGAGAGAGAGAGAGAGAGAGAGAGAGAGGGGGTTATAAGTTGGGTCAGGTTCCAGTTTAATTCGGGTTAGTTTTTTAATAAAAACCAACCAAAAAGTCGCTAATAGCGCTCAAAAGCGCTAATATTGCTCAAAAGCAGTTTTAAACGATATTAACTGTTTTTGAACACTATTTCGTGCTTTTCTCTGCTATTTCGAATGGATAGCGGTCATCGATGCTTTTTCTCACTGCTATGGCCAAAATCGTTTGCCCGCTAACACAATTGCGGCTGCAATTGCGCCGCAATTGCCTGCTACTTACAACACTGATAGTGAAATGTTTGGTTCAAATTTTTGAATATTAGACAGGAACATTTAGTCCTTTAAAATGAAATAGTGCTAGATTCCAGACTAAACAAAAAGGGAAGGGAGGCCTTGCGGGGGCGGGGGGGCGTATTGTAGTCCTAATACTATTTTTTATTTGGGATTAGATTCAAAAAGACCCTCTAGTCCCTTGACTTTCCTTGACATTATCTAGGCTTCCTCTTTAGTTATGTCTATTTCATCATCTATCGAAAACAAAAAAGAAAGAAACCGGGACACCAAGGCCCAGAACAAGGTTAAAAATTGAAACACAATTTCTCGCTGAGCATCTCATAAGCATGATTGATTATTTGAAGTTTGTTAGTGCTAAATTAATTACTCCAAGCAAAGTCAGACAAGTGGGCATTGGAGAAGAAATGAATAACTAAAAAGTTACGTTGCAATCTCAAATTGATGTACGCACGAAAGCACGTAAAGAAAGAAGCATGAACATTACATAGAAGCTAAACAAATAAATTGGCAAAGCATATTGTAGTTAAATTTATTTACATACGGACTATTTAGATTATTAAGTCCTTTTTTCATATTATTTTAACATGAAAGCTATAATTGATACCTAGCAGGACATCATGGACATTTATTATTATGCCTTAAATCTAATACCACCTTATAATGACAAGCTTCCAAACATAACATAGGTATTAGGTGTTAATACCAAACTGTACCAAACATATTATTAAAAATTTTACTCGCTATAGTCTGCTGGATTATTATATCTCAAGACTATAATGAGTTAAATTAATGCCGGTATATAACAAGACCCCAATCCAAACATGGCCTAAAGGTATAATAACTAATTAACTATACATGACGACTATATAACGAACATATAATTTTCATCCCAAGATGTTGAGAAATAAGAGGGAGAAAAATAACAAAAATATGTAGTTGAAACATGACTGTTAAGTTGGAGGAGCTGGAGAGTGAACTGAAGATAATGAGGATGATACTGTTCAGATGGTCAGGCACAAGGAGTGCAGTGAGTTGTCCCAGCCTCCAGTTATGAATGACAGAATGGCAGTGGAAAGGGCTGCAACGACTATAGGTAGATCAAAGCAAACCTAGATTAAAGTAGAAAAGGGTACAATAATTGCCAGTTGCATGAGTCAGGAGAAAAATGGAAAGAACAGTGGATATTTGTTATAGGATGAAAAAAAAGATATTATTTTTGTTATTGCTACGTTTGTGGAAGGTGTTTTATTAAAGTAGGTGCAATAGTTGCCAGTTTTATGAGCCAGGAGAAAAATTGAGAACAGTGGATATTTGTTATATACTGAAAAAAGAGATTATCTTTGTTGTTGATACGTTTGTGGAACATCCCGAGATCAAGAAGTTCATGGGTGTACAATGATAAAAAAAAGGAATCAAAAAGGCTGCTGAATGTGATTTGTGAAGTCACTCCAAGAATATATAATCTAGTTGTATGCAAACGTAGGGCTTAAAATACAAATAAAATTTTATCACTTTCATTATGAATCAGTATTTATTATAAGTGTGTTGCAGGCTTGCAGCTAATATAACATAATTGATGCTTTAAGCTATAAACATGAAGCTCCTTAATCTGAATGTTAGTATATGCATATTCAAAGGCATGTATACAAAAATTCAGAAAATAGGAAAATGAATAAGCGGTAAAATTCAGAGCAGCTTAATCTCACCAGTCCACGAATTGGACAGTCCTCTTGGTTTTAATAGTTGCAACTGCTGCATTAACATCCTTGGGCACAACATCCCCACGATACATCAAACAACAGGCCATGTACTTCCCATGTCTCGGGTCACACTTTGCCATCATGCTTGAAGGCTCAAAGACAGCATTTGTGATTTCAGGAACCGAAAGCTGCTCATGATATGCTTTCTCAGCAGAGATAACAGGCGCATAAGAGGAAAGCATGAAATGGATCCTAGGATATGGTACAAGGTTTGTTTGGAATTCTGTTATATCAACATTGATAGCGCCATCAAACCTAAGCGAAGTGGTCAAGGAGGAGATGATCTGAGATATCAAGCGGTTCAAATTGGTGTAAGTTGGCCTTTCGATGTCTAGAGATCTACGGCAAATGTCGTATATGGCCTCATTATCCAAAAGAACTGAGACGTCTGTATGTTCGAGCAAGGAGTGTGTAGAAAGAACACTGTTGTAGGGTTCCACAACTGCTGTAGAAACCTGTCAGATTATGAAATTGTCAGACAACAGTAACACTCAGAATGCGTCTGAAAAACATAAAATAGGAAAAATAGGGTTAAGCTGATAAAAAAATTCAAAAACTTCCAAGGAAAGCCTTCATTAATTTAAAGAAAAAATCCTACAGAACTAAGAAACTTGATAAGATGGATAATTGCTGATCAAGAAAAAGATGAGAATGAAATATAAAGGGAAGTTGCAAAAAAGTAGGTTTTCCCCTATTTCTCCCTTAAATCTTTAATATTTTGAAATATGTCCCTCAAATCATTGAAATTGCTATTAGTTCCTCCAATTTTTATATATTGTTACCGCTTACTCTTGATCGGAGGCATTAATTTGAAACAAACTATGAGAATGAGGGACTTAACAACAATTTCAATGATTCAAGGCACTAATTTTGAGACAACTAATAAGAATTTGGAGACGTAATAGCAATTGCAATAATTTGACTTTTGAGTGACTAATTTCAAAATATTAAAGATTTAAGGGACTAAACCAAAAAAAGGTATCACATAGATAAGGTGTTACATAGTATTTTAAAATGGTTCAAATTTGTGATATAGTAGTAAGCACAAAAGAACCAGCTGTTGGAAAATAGTTAAGCAAAGGAAAAAAAAACAGATATAAAAGGAAAATGGTATTTAAATATTTCAAAGAGTTGTCTGCTTAGAGCAAACATAAACAACAGAACCCACCACCCTGATCCCACATGCCAATGATCATTAGCCTTCATAGCTAAGGCACATGCACATAGATAGGCAGGCCCACTACAGCAATATCCACATGGGTGCATGCAGGTGCAAAATAGATAAACATCACATTTTATAGTGACTTCCAACTTCCAAGTGAACATGGCGGATGCTCTTACAACTCCTAAGAATGGACATAGTTGGATGCTCATGACCACTTGATGAAGTTAAAGTGGAAAGGTAGACTGAAGGGGGGGAAACTTATTATAAAAAAGCACATGCAGCAGACACATGCCAAAGCAAAGAAGAACCAAAACTTTTCTACGGTCAGTAGCTGTAGTATGTACTGCTAAATTATTGCATAACAAAAAAATGTTACTAGAAAGTTCAAAACCTGTGCATTCTCTGAATCCTAAAAGACTAAAACTACTACATTATAAATTTAATTTGACCGGCGCGAACTTTATAATACACATCTCAATTTATAAACATTTATAGACAATTGATTATCTTATCCTTTTTCCACCTATCTCCTACTTCAAGAACTTCCCAAAACGTCTTCTGAATTCTTCATAAACAGATTTATTCTCTGTGGGTTTTCCTAGAAGATATACTGGAGGACACTAGTATCTACTCAAAGAAAAATCACACAACCAAAGAGAGATTATTAGTACCTGAGGTGAAGGATAGATGGTAAAACCAAGCTTCGATTTTTTCCCATAATCAACTGAAAGCCTTTCCAGCAGCAAGGAGCCTAAACCAGATCCAGTACCACCACCAACAGCATTGAAAACCAAGAATCCTTGCAAACCAGTGCAATTGTCTGCTAGTTTTCTAACGCGATCGAGACACAGATCTACAATCTCCTTCCCAACTACAATACAAGATAACTAACAAACTTATAACCAGAGGTAACATACAAAAGACCAATCTTTTTCTGATAGAGAAGAATAAGAAAACAAAAACAAGAAGGGAACTGAGTGAGGACTGTCATACCAGTGTAATGTCCACGAGCAAAGTTGTTGGCAGCGTCTTCTTTGCCAGAGATGAGCTGCTCAGGGTGAAAGAGCTGGCGGTAAGTTCCAGTTCTAACTTCGTCAATGACAGTAGGCTCAAGATCTACAAAGATAGCTCTTGGGACATGCTTGCCTGCACCAGTCTCGCTGAAGAAGGTATTGAAGGCATCATGGGCAACACCAACCGATGTATCACTGGTACGAAAAGGAATTAAAAACTTAAGAATGTTAGAAAGATAATTTTTACAAAATGAATCAACATAATCTGATTATCATTTCATGAAGAATGAAGATTTGGATTAAGATCATAGAAAAAAATCAAGATCAAAACAACATAAATCAAATTATTTCATCACTTTCCATAACAAAAATCTTTTATCGCAGAAACCACCCATTTCATTAATGGAACTCTAAGGTATAACTGAAAATAAGTTTTACCATATAAATGTTTGCCTTCAGCAGCTTTCCACTGAACACCGGTTGGCCTTAAGGGGCTGTTTGGTTGGTTTCCTAAAAACCAAAAAAAGGAAATCGGTACAAGGAAATCAATAAAATAATATTTTTATCCATTTCCATCCCTAAAACTCACCCACAACATCCAATAAAATATTATTTTTATCCTCCAACTCATCTCATTTCATCTCCTTTCTTACCTTTAAAAATAAACCAAACACAAGAAATGTGTCACATCATCCAACTCATCACATCTCATCTTATCCCATTTTTAAAAATCACACACATCATCCAATAATATTGTGACAACTCATCTCATCTCATTAAACCTTCCTTTCCATCCATTTCCTCAAAAAAAAAAGAAATTGATTTCCTTAAGTATGTGTCACATCATCCAATAATATACCTCCAACTCATCTCATCTCATCTATTTTCTTATTTTTAAAAATGAACCAAACATAAACAACCTCAAAATATCATCCAATAATATACCTCCAATTCATTTCCTTATTTTTTTAACCAACCAAACAACCTCAAAACAAGTTTTTTTTAAAAATCACTCACATCATCCAATAATAAGGTGACAACTCATCTCATCTCATCTCCTATTCTATAATTTCCTTCTTTTTTAACCTAACCAAACAATCTCAAAACAATTATTATAGGAAATAGGTTTCCTATTCTTTAATTTCCAAGTTTTTTTTTGCGAAACGAACGGACCCTAAGCTTGAAATGCGTGAACAATAGAGGTTTCGAATGAAATTTTGACATTCTTTCGTAATAAAATCACAAGTTTCGAATAAAACCCCCTTGTTCTTTGTAAGGTACAATAATAGAAGTAAATTATAACCTTGAAAAAAGAATTAGCCATTTGCGCATTTCTTGCCCAGGGATGTTATCATAATATTTCAACGTCTGTTCTGTATTAATCTTAACGAAATGTACGCAAACCCAATACACATAATCTCAACTCAAGAGAAAAACATTCCTATGCATTATCTAACAAGAACTCTAACAGCCTTCAATGCCCCCAATATCTAATTCTATACACACAAAAAAAAGCAAATAAATTAAGAATGATGGAAAATATATAGAGATTCTGAACAGGGAACAAATTATCTACACAAAAAAAAATATTCCTCATTTATGAACGGTAAATCACCAAAATTAAACGAAAAAAATTCAAGAAGGGAACAAATTATCCACACACAAAAATAAAGTCGATTTTGATCGCAAACGGACAAACCTAGGCATCATCCCGTCCGGCTGAATCCCATGCTCGAGGCAGTACAATTCCCAGCAAGAATTCCCCACTTGGATCCCAGCCTGCCCTATGTGAATACTAATTATTTCTCTCATTTTCGTTCTCTCTCAAACCCTAACCCTAGTTTTTCTCCCCCCTTTAAAATGCTGCGAATCTAACAAACGAATGGAAAGAAAAGAAAATGGGAGGGCGCTTTTTTGTAATATAAAAGGATTTGTATGAGGTGGGAATAAAAATTGAATTTTAAAGGGTTAATGGGATTTGATAATTCTTGTTGGAGTCCGGAATCTTGGGGCCCGCTGTTCGGCTTGGCCGTCTTTATAGCGGACGTTGAATGACATTAACACCCTTATACTTCCGCTATTGGACGCAGGCGTGCGAGGGCATTTTGGGAGGAAAGGAAAGTTATTTGATGAGCTGTTTCCTGGCTGTTTTATGGTGGCAGAAGCGCAATTTGCTTATTTGTTTATTTTCTCTTTTAATTTCCAGGGTTTTGAGAATTTCAATTGTTTAATTTAATTTGATGGTATTTATTTTAGTTTTATATGTTACAAGAAGGAAAATATGCTTTAATTTTATGATTTCTCTCACGAAAGATGTTTGAATACAAGTTGACACTAAGGGGGTGTTTGGTTGCATTGTTTTTGAGAAATATTTTCTCAAAAGTACTGACGCATGACATTTATGTAATTAAGAGTTTTCTATACATTTCTATAAACTGTTTGGCTCCAAAAAAATTTACAGAAATGTTTTCTGTAAAGTGCCCAAAAGTACCAAATTTTATGGAAATTGATTTCCTTCTAAAATGGGAGGAAATCTCTTGGAAATCTGACACATTCATTATTTAAATAATAAAACTCATTAACTCTTTTCTACAAAGTTCTCACTTTTCTATAAAGTTGGTGGTGTTTGGTTATATTTCTATAAATTATAGGAAATGTTGCTATTTTCCCAAAAGTTATTTCTCATTTTCTTGGTTTGAACCAAACAAGCACAATACAAAAAATAAGAAAATTTGTACTTTTTAACTTCTCAAATTCTATATTTAAATAATAAAACTCATTAACTCTTTTCTACAAAGTTCTCACTTTTCTATAAAGTTGGTGGTGTTTGGTTATATTTCTATAAATTATAGGAAATGTTGCTATTTTCCCAAAAGTTATTTCTCATTTTCTTGGTTTGAACCAAACAAGCACAATACAAAAAATAAGAAAATTTGTACTTTTTAACTTCTCAAAACTTTTCCTATAATTTTTTTAAGAAATACAAGGAAATCAAATTTGGGATAGAAAACACTTCCTATAATTTATAGAAATGTAACCAAACACCCCCTAAGAATCCTCATTCTTTCATAACCCAATGCAGAGCATAGGTCTCTCCGGGTCCTTTGAGTTCTTTTTAGATTTTTTTTAATTTAACGAACCGGTTCTCCGAGTTTTGCACTTAATGATTGTTTGTTTCGTTATAATTGTAATGATAATTATAATGAAAATGCTAATCATTTTTCAGGATGTAGAGTTTTGCTACATGGACCTAAAATATGGGACCAACAGGGAGACATGTGAAGTGTCCCCCTCCTATTGCATAATGAGCTGGTCAGCATCTAATTATGCAATAGGAGGGGGACACCCCATATGTCCCCCCCATGTTGGTCTCATATTTTGGGTCCTTAGGGAATTTTTCCTTCTAGTATAGATATTGTTGCGCAAGAAAACATATTAGAAATAAAGAACTTATTGTTTGCATTCAAATTGAGGAGTGTTCTATTGATTAAGGGTTTACATAATGCTATAAATGGAATAGTAACCGTTGCATATGATTGTATGTTGTACCGGTTCAATTTTAAAGTTGTAGAAATTGTGATTGTATTTGCAGCTGCTGCATTTGTTAATTGCAACTTAAACCCCCTCCCTTTAGGAAGTTTCAAGTACAACTCATATCTAAATCAGCATAAGTCAGCCGTACTTGGAGATCTTCTTACAAATGTATTTATTAGTTGAAGCGAAACAAATAGCAACCAAAGTTTTCTCAGTTGTATATGATTATAGTTACAGCGCTATAGTTGTAAAGAACCAGAGAACTTAGCCTACGACTTGTCTACCTTGCTAACCAAACAAAACATATAAGAGCAATATTTACTGTTAACACTTTTGTACTAATTATAGAAGGTTGAAGTTCATGTTTCCGATCCTAAATCTTTGTATTCATACCATCTCTTTCTTCACTCTTAGGGGCTGTTTGGTTATGGGGCTGTTTGGTTGTATGTTTTTACCATGTAAAAGGATGGAAAGTGTAAAAAAGTGGGTCCCAATGTCAGTTTTCATCACTTTCAATTGTTTGTTTGTAGTTGTGAAAATAGTGTAAAGTGATTTCATATGCTGATGTGGCTTGTAAAGTGATTTCATATGCTGATGTGGCTTGTAAAGTGATTTCATAAAAAAAAAGACATGATTTTAAAAGAAATCTGATATTAAAATCAGAAAAAATAATAAAAAATAATTCCAACCAATATGATCATTTGAGTAGGGATCACTTTTTACACTTTCCAAACAAACAATTAAAGTTACATTTGCAAACTAAACAAGCAATTTATGATTCCAATGGAATAAAAAACAAACAAAGAAAAGTATAAGACTATCAGCAGCAGATGGGCAATATTTGCCATCCACCTCAGCTTATGTCCCCACCAATTCAAAATTTAGCATCCTCTTTTCTTTCAACCTCACACTAGTAAGGCAAATATCTACTTTTTACTTATTCGTATTTTTTTTGTAAAAATCTCGAATTTTTTCCGATATCCAAATGACACAAACTTAGACTCTATAAATAGATCTTGAAAAATAAAAATTATTGGTGAAAAAATTATTAAATAATTTGGTTTAATTATTGGTCAAAAAACTATTTTATAAAAAAGAGATTAAAAAAGTACATGGGACCCACCATCTTTTAAGATTTGCCCATGGGCAAAATTTGCCCTCCATCCCATTCTCTCTCCATTTGCCTTCCCATTTGCCCTTCTATTGTATGAAATAATTTGCCATTTGCCCTTCTATTGCAGATGGTCTAAAAGTGAAATTGATGAGGTGGACAACAACTTTCCAAGTTGTGTCATAAATACACATCTTTACCAACAACAACCAAACAGCCCCTTAGGGTGCGTTAGTCTTTTAGACAAGTTTGGAAATAATTTAGGCAACTTTTGAACTCGCTGCACTTGGCCTAGGTTAGGCAGAATTAGACTTTATTGAGCTAGTTCCAACTTAAACCTAGTTTGGCTAATTTCTAGACTATACTATATTTGAGCTAGTTCTCTTATAAACCAAGTGAGAGTTGGTTTATTCCTAGTCTAGTTATTGAGCAAAAGTAGACCTCAAAAGAACCAGTTTTTTTTTCCATTTTTTTTCATTTGCCAAACAAGGGCTAAGCTCATAGACTCGTTTTGTCTCTACTAAAACTGGTTCACCCAGTTTGCCAAACGCACCTTTAGTATATCCCCGCGAGGATATACATGCACACTTGCTAGGCATCCACTAATTACATCGAGTAAATACGAGTAAATACCAAGACACCAACAAAACTACCAAGCATAGCAAAGGAAAAGAGAAGAAGAATACATTCTCAAACAAAAGAGTCTGATATAAAGTATCATAATAACTAGGACTACCACACAAAGTTGCGAACAGCCTGTATCCACATGAAAGCCTCATGATTGAATATGACCAGATATACTCTCAGTTTCTACTTGATGTGAGACACTGCATGTTTCTTTCAGCAAAAATCAGTACATAACTCCTCCAATCATTTAGCTGAGCTAAAATAGAGATAAAAAATAGCTAGTTAAGATGTCCAGAATTTAGTCCGCAATAAATAGATAAGATGTTGATGCCGATAAATATCATTCAGGATTGAGACCCACCAGCTGCTGCACCAAATAAAGCACAGCCCATGTGATGATAGAATCCAGAAACTTGTATCTTTTTCATGAGAACATTTTACTTCAGCTTTAAGGCCAGAATAAATCACTTGGAAGTGCATGCCTTTACTGCTGGCAATTAACAGTGTTTCACATTTGTGAAGTGTTTAGTAATAGGATGATGTTAGCTCCATGTGAAAATATAATCAATCCTAAAGTTTTGGCACTCAGATGACACTTTTTTTCAGCGTAGCCGATTAATATGCAATTTTTAATAAAGGTATAGTGCATAAGATCGCATCAGAAAGGTTTAACATGAAGTTCTATGTGATTGCTAAGTACCCATGATGTGCAAAGGAAAGATTATATCTCGTTACAAGAATGATAATTTTATATAGATAAAATGTTGTGGAATTGATGTGCAAAGGAAAGATTATATCTCGTTACAAGAATGATAATTTTATATAGATAAAATGTTGTGGAATTAAGAAAATAGATGTCAACAAAAATTTGTTACAAGAATGATAATTTTATATAGATAAAATGTTGTGGAATTAAGAAAATAGATGTCAACAAAAATTTAATAGAAATGAGAATTTTATGATGGCTGAATAACCAGACAATGAGACAGAACTGGCCAAGGAAATGATAGCTACCAAGATGTTATCCTTGGAATAATATAAAGAACTTAGCATAGACTGTATAATGGTTTAAAGTTTAAACAACCCCAAGTTGGAGCAGAGTACAGTCTGTAATAGAGCTGATGATTCCTCCTTACAGATTTTGTGCTGGCTCAGCATTGCTCATTAGCAATCAACTAATGTTTGCGCATAGTTTAGGTGTCACTTATTTAACAACTACCTATAACTCTCACCTACTTTAAGTAGAAGAATGTTAATGTGTGTGCTCAGATTTCAGTGTTTCCTTCCCTACAGTCATCTTGTTATACGAACTTAGACCAGTTTGCTTATCTACTTTTGCATCTAGGTTTTGCTCTTACTGAAACTTTTAGATATTCACATGTATAAGTATTAAGAAGAACAGATGCAGTTTATATATGCAAAGTGCCACAAAAATTGATGTAATTTTACATGTGTTCCCCACGTTTCTCCTAAAGGTGACAAATATGGACTCAAATGAGTATTCTGCATCCTCGGACTACATGGAGAAAGAGGGCAATGTTGTTAAAACTATTTTCTGGGGAGGATCTTCAATTGTAAATTTAAATTCTCTCTGCAGCTTCTTCCGGAAATTAATACTTTCATTGATTTATGGATAGAGAATGCAAGAAAGAAGGATAAAAAGCAAACAAAGGCAGCTGCAATGGCTACAATCACTGGTACAAAACGACGCATTCCAGACGGAAAATTCCGTCTGGAATAACCATAATTCCGTCTAGAAAAACTATTCCAGACGGAATTCCGTCTAGAATACGGGTCTAATTAGTTTCCGTCTAGAATATTTTATTCTAGACGAAAATTCCGTCTGAAATGTATTCTAGATGGATTTTTATAGACGGAAAAAAAAACCGTCTGTAATACATTTCAGACGGATTATTTCCGTCTGGGATAATTAACCCAGACGAAATTTTCCGTCTGGGATGTATCATGCCAAGCTCCACCGTTCCATTAAAGTTGTTTGATGTTAGGAAGAGGTACTGGAGGTCTGAGAGCTTAAACAAGGATGTTGGAATCTGTCCTTGGAGTTGATTATTACTCAGATCGAGTTGGCTTAAGGACATTAAAGGATTTGAAAACTCTTTTAACTCACCAGAGAATTGATTTTTAGAGAGATTCAATGACTCTAAAGCAGGGTGGTTAAACAAAGAGACTGGCACCGATCCAGAAAGGAAGTTGTAACCTAGATATAAGGATGTGAGATAAGTCAGATTTCCGATAGAAGTGGGAATCCCGTAAAATTGTTGCCGTAAAGAGCCAAGACAGAGAGCCGGAACAGATTTCCGGAACAGATTTCCAATTCAACTGGGGACCACACCTACAAATTCATGGCCCGAAAGATCTAAATATGCGAGCTGGGTAAGATTCCCGATGGAAGATGGCATCATCCCGATCAGACCACAATATGAGATATCTAGTGTAGTCAGGTGCTTGAGATTCGAAATAGAGTCTGGTATATTCCAGGATAAACTCGCCCTAGGGAAGGCCAAACTTTGCAAAGCATTGTTGCTTGGAAAATCCGACAGATTCCCAGAAAGCATCAGATTCTGGGATAGGTCTAGAAGAGTCAGGTTGGTGTGTGATGTCAAGATGTCTGTCGGTAACAATCCTGCGACTCCAAATATATATACTATATAATAAATAAGGAAATAATGCTTGATTATAAAACTGATTAGATAAAGAAGTAGGTTTACCTGGGAGATTACAGTAACTCAAAGTGAGCTCCCGAAGGCGAGACATCGAGGTGGACAAAGCACTTCCCCAGTCTAGGTTCGAGGACATGTCGATGCTGCGATAATTCTTGCCCAATAATTCTTGCCAAGTAATTCATTTTATTTATATCCGTTAATTGCTCATTCACCTTTGGGTATCAAATTAATAATTAAACATTAGTTAGCGTTAGCATGGGCATCGCAATATTTGGTCGGCTTCCCCATTCTATACTATTATTGCTGGTAGTAATACTCATGCTGCGATCCTTCAAATCTGCTGCTCATACTGTCGATTGCCTCCCCTCCGAGAGGTCTTCCCTCCTCGACATAATACACGGTGTCTCCTTCGTCAAGGATTATTATCCCGGAGCTCGCGGCCCCCTGGTTCAGTGGAAACTTGGCTCTAACTGCTGCCACTGGGAGGGAGTCACCTGCGACCCCAAATCTGGCCACGTCAGCGGCCTCAACCTCAGTAACCGTGGTATCAACGGCACGCTCAGTGCTAGCCTCTTCAATCTCACCTCCCTCCGATCTCTCGACCTCTCCCGCAATCTCTTTCAAGGACCCTTTCCTTAGGTGGGGTTTGAGAACCTTACACAACTCACCCGTCTCAATCTCTCATATGCCAGATTCAGTGGTCAGATTCTTGCCGGCATCTCTCGCTTAACCGACCTCATCTCCCTCGACCTCAGCTCCAGCTCATCATGCGTCATCCACTACTCAACCGTCGACGGCCTCAGCGAGTACTACGACAGCGTCAATTACGTACAGCTCCGCCATCCAAGTTTCCGGACTCTAGTTGGAAACCTTAGCAGTCTGAGGGAGCTCCGTCTCAACAGCGTCGACATGTCCTCGAACCTAGACTGGGGAAGTGCTTTGTCCACCTCGATGCCTCGCCTTCGGGAGCTCACTTTGAGTTACTGTAATCTCCCAGGTAAACCTACTTCTTTATCTAATCAGTTTTATAATCAAACATTATTTCTTTATTTATTATATAGTATATATATTTGGAGTCGCAGGATTATTGCCGACAGACATCTTGACATCACACACCAACCTGACTCTTCTAGACCTATCCCAGAATCCGATGCTTTCTGGGAATCTGCCGGATTTTCCAAGCAACAATGCTTTGCAAAGTTTGGCATTCCCTGGGGCGAGTTTATCCGGGAATATACCATACTCTATTTCGAATCTCAAGCACCTGACTACACTGGATATCTCATATTGTGGTCTGACCGGGATGATGCCATCTTCCATCGGGAATCTTACCCAGCTCGCATATTTAGATCTTTCGGGCCATGAATTTGCAGGTGCGGTCCCCAGTTGGATTGGAAATCTGTTCTGGCTCTCTGTCTTGGCTCTTTACGGCAACAATTTCACGGGTCCAATCCCAACTTCTATCGGAAATCTAACTCATCTCACATCCTTATATCTAGGTTACAACTTCCTTTCCGAATCGGTGCCAGTCTCTTTGTTTAACCACCTTGCTTTAGAGTCATTGGATCTCTCTGAAAACCAATTCTCTGGTGAGTTAAAAGAGTTTTCAAATCCTTCAATGTCCTTAAGCCAACTCGATCTGAGTAATAATCAACTCCAAGGACAGATTCCAACATCCTTGTTTAAGCTCTCAGACCTCCAGTACCTCTTCCTAACATCAAACAACTTTAATGGAACGGTGGAGCTCGACATGATAATTAACCCAGACGAATAAAGTATCCTAGACGGAAAATTTTCCGTCTGGAATAATCCGTCTAGGATACTTATTATTCTACTAGTGAATGGATCATCAAGCCTGATTTATTGTGGTTAAAACTTTGTATTTTGTTCCTTTTAATGTTATTTTTACAATCTGTGAAACTTTATCTTCTACAATCTGAATCAAATCTGATATTTGAATTTATCCAGCATCAATTTCACAGATGTGTGCATGATGTATATTTGGTAAAATCACTTGCCAGACTAACCCATTCAATCTACATGCAAAAGATATCAGCTCTTGGATTTTATGTATAGATAACCATGAGAATAGGATAAGTATGAGCATATATTATCATTGTCTTTAACTTGAAGTTTGAAAATCAAGTTCTGATGAGATTATAATCATCCATCAAGGTCATAAGGCTCGTAACTGTAAAGGAACAGACAGATACAACCGATCAAGAAATGGCAATTTCGATTATAAATCTATTTTATGTAAAATTTTCAAATGATTCACATAAATGCTTCCAAGGATAAGGTAACACTCACTAAGCTTTTCTTTACAACATATGCTTCTCAGGATAAGATCTAAAGCAACAGCTACAGGAAACTTCTACAACCAGTTTCTTGGACATAGATGTCAATTATTTTTCTGCAGGTTCTGGGTGCTTATATCGATTATGATTAAACAGCTGACTGAAGGCCGATTATACCTGGCAAAGAAAGTTGAAATTTTACTATGGTTAATTCATAAGACTTCAAGACAAGAACCGAATCGTGAAATCAAGAGCTACAAGGGAGAAGACAGGTACCACATCCAATTCGAGCACCTGCATTTCCTGTGGTTTTGCTAAGTTCATGACCACCTGGAGGCTTGAAGAAATAAAATGCTTAGTATTCATGAAGCTTGGAGTCTTGGACAGCTTTTACCGGACCAAGCATAAATCGGAAGTGTACTTTGTACTAAATTATGATATATAGATATATGGTTAAATTTCAGCATTATCATGTATGGCCCTTTTTTCTAAAATGAACAACAATCTTCTGTACAAAATAACTGTTCTCTCTCATAAATCTCATTACTTTGGCTTTCTTAATTTCTGTGAAAGCCCAGCCAACCAGCCACATGAATATCATTTGGTTCAACAGTCGGTAAAGGAGCTAGTCAGTGAAAATGAAGGGGTTTGAAGACTGTGAAAGGTTTTGAAGATGCAGTTGTAGTAGAAAATATGGTTGATGAGACCAGTGAATTCTACTTACTAAACACAATATATAAACCATTAGATTGGTTTAACATGTATAACTAAGTCAAGAGGCATATAGAAAAGTACATAAACATGGTTCATGCAAGAACCATTCTGCTTGATTTTATAATCTAATACAAGTTCCACATTGATAGCAATACATAAATAAATAAAAGCAACATATCTCAACTCTGCATACACCTTATGCTGAATTATTTATACATAAAAATAGAACGAAAAAAAAACAAGGAAACAAAAGTATACCTCTCCCAAGGTCATCAGGATCAGCATGAACAACAACAGCCCTCCCCAGTATTGAGTATGGCCCACTCAGAGGGATCTTGAAAAAAAACCCAGAGAAGGGAATATCAGTTAAGATAACAGGTGGTCTGAATATATTGAGGATTACCGCAAAAGATCTATTAGTATTATATGAGAGAACAAAACCTGCAAGTCCTTCAAGCACACATCAGCAATCCCTGAAGCATGAACACATTCCAATGTTTTAAAAAAGAAACTCTCAAGAAGCAAAAATAACAGGTCATTATCAGAATCGAGCCAGTATATTCACCATCTTGATTTGCTACTATGTTTCCCAGGTCGCCCGCATGTCTTTCGTCATCGGTTGGAGCCCCATGAAGCTTATTCTGAGGATTAAAATGCGGTCCTGCAAGAAAAGTAACAACCTAGTTTACCACATGATGTGCTTAAGAACATAGTCGAAGTGCAAAATAATGAAATTAGGTGCTAATCTGTTTACTCTGTAGAAATTAAGAGTTTTACACTTTCAATAGATAGATACAGAGAGGGAGGGAGAGAGAGGCTTTTTTTGGAAGGTGGGGGTTGGGGTGGGGGTGGGGGGGTCTTTAATAATGGTGTTTTGGCTCTCTGATGGCAATAGAACATTGCTTGTAATTAGAAAGAATGTCAAAGACTTCAATTGAGTCTTTTTTAGTGATTAGAGAAAAATATCCAGGAATCAATTGACATGCATCGATATTCAGATCCTAGCAAAAGCTATGCGAGTGCATTAATATTATCAGTAAAAAAGGCCCAACCTTTCTACCTTGTAATAACAAAAAACTCTACAATTATATGTATAAGGGATACAGTATATGATCAAACTCCAGTTTGAAGGCTGACAACAAAAATCATATTAAAGCAAGAAGTTCGATTAACTTTCCCTAATTCTACAAAATAATATAACATGACTTCATGCAGGAACAAGGACAAGCATAAATATTAAAAGTAAATAAATAAAACAAAAATAATATGATATGATAAAAAGATAAAATCAAGATTATCTAAAAAGAAAATTATTATAGTTAAGAGTAAGAGTGTAAATATTCTTAAGTACATGATATACAAAATTAATGATACATACTCTGAAACTGTCTATTTAGAACTAGCCATATTCATTTATATCATTTTCAGAACCAATTTTACTGACACGCCTGAGTATAGCATTTTTCACCCTCTTCAGTATTTTCAAATGACATTCCTCTGACATGTATCCTCAATCTCTACCTCAAACATCAACTGTCCCAGTTGGCAACTAATATCATTTTCATATTTCTGGCACCACCTCATTATGTCCTCCTTTTTATCCTCAACGTCCACAAGCTTAACTGTATTGTCCACATTTTACCTGAATCCAACTTAGACCAATCTTTGTAGATAATTTTCTACAATCAACATATCTTAGGCCGAAATCCCAAATAATCATTGGAGTTCACCCTTATCATCGCACATGTCATATGCCTAACCTAATTATAGCACCCATTAAGTCCAAGAGATGCTAATCCGCATGGACCATTATGTTACTCTATGCTTGACCTTTCCAAAAGCTTCACTGTGAGCTTTAAATAACAATTGTAAATGAGCACAATAACTTAATATAAACTTTTATTTACTAGAACACAAAGGCTAGCATATTAAAAAAAAAACAAGTCACTTTGACATTTACAGCACAGAGATTTATACTTTCTCTCACAAATTATTTTCTCTTCTCAAGTTATTAATTATTGTATACTTGCTCTTACACTTGTTGGCACTTTGTTTTGTGCAACTGAGCTTATGTACCTAAGATAATGAGAAGCACGCAATATACTCTAGAGTTGTGAACCGATAAAAAAAACATTCTAGAATTCAAGTGTCACAACCAAGAAAATTCTCAAGAAGGTTCTAGATATGGGCCCACATTACTCATATGTGGACTTTTAGATTTCTCAAGAATATGGAGTTTGTGTTGAATTCTGAAACAAGCATAAGCAAATTTCTACTTTTTTTTTATTTCCCTAACTTTCTTTTGAGATGAGCACAAACTGTTTCTTAAACTAATAGCAACACATCACCTAGAAAACTTCAATCATCTCCCTTTCCCACATCCCCAATTGATTGGATAAAAAATGACTACAAAGAAACAAGATCTATTTCTTTTATTTCATTTCCACACCTCTTTACGCAAAGGAAAACTCAATGGCAAAATAACATTTGTTTCCAAATTTCCTTTGTTCTTTAGGTTTATTTTTTGCACTTTACAAACAAGGGAACTTTTGGGCACTATATTTCCTTCTTTTGTGTACTATATTTCCTTTCATTTCCCTTCTAATGAGTTCCTTGGCGAAATGAAACAATTCAATATTTCTTCTATTAGTCAGCAGGCACAACTAAGAATCTATAAGTAATCATCTTCACCAAATGCATCACATGTTTTAAAATATGGAAAAGAAAATAAAAAGATATTCTTGAAACGGCAGAAGTTAAACCTCCCATATACGAGTACCTTCTGTTTTCTTCGAATATGAATCAAATCCCAAATTTAGGGAATTTGGCAACTCAAACTATCCAGAAGAATCATTGTTAAACTACCACATAGTTAAAATTTAAGAATGAATTATGCCAGAGAAACAAAAGGAGATAGATTTTTACCAAATAAGTTTTCAAAATACTAAAATACTACGCATAAAGACTTGACGAAAAGGTTCAGACTCATCCAAACTGCTCCAACTACGAAATTCCCAATTGAATACCACAAACAATTAAAGGGTTCCCTAAAAAATATCATCTTTTTCATTATAATTGAATTAAATATCAAATTCGTTAAAAAAACAAAGACAAAAATATTGTTGTAATTACCAGTTGAATTGCAACCATTGGTGGTGTCCCCAAATGAATGGATGTGGAAGCCATGGAGACCAGGGGAGAGGCCAGTGACCTTGCCCCTCACTTGGGTATATCCTGCAAAAGTTTTAAACATTAGGGCTTCTTCTGATTATATCTTTCTTTCCATACATCAGATATCAGTTCAGCTCACCAGTGGCAGTATCGTGAATAAAGTGAAGAGATCCCCTGACGGTGCTGTTGCTGTCCCCGCCGGCGATGAGCGCTACGCCCTTCAGACCGCCGCCCGCTGCCATTGCTTTCTTTTCCCTCAGTGCTCGAGCTCTTATGTGGTCTCTCAGTCAAGATTGTTTTCTTTGCTTAGGCTTTTTTCAGAAAACACCCTGGTCTCTTTTGTTTGACACCCTGCTTGCTTATGCATGCCCACATATGATGATATCCTTTCCTTCGACAGTTAAGCCTTACCCTATATTTTTCCCTTCTTTTTTCTTTTTCTTTTCTCTCTTTTTTAACCCGTTGCTCGATGGAACTTCTTCACAATCCTTGGTAATTGGTATCAAATTCTTGGGCGTGACTTAAGGACACCCCCTAACGCATGGCCTCACATATTCCTGAAAGGAAAATGATTTAAGGACCCAAAATATGGGACCAATGGAGGGGACAAGTGAGGTGTCCCCTCCCTATTGCACAATGAGTTGGCATGACCAACTCATTATGTAATAGGGAGGGGACACCTCACTTGTCCCCTCCCTTGGTCCCATATTTTGGGTCCCCGTAGCAGCACTCCATTGGACGAAAACCCTAAAAATGCGATCTTTAGCGCCCAGGTATTATCTTTTGGATCCCTTCTCTTCCTATTTTTTTCGACTTTTCAAATTACCCACGAAATCAAACAAAAAATGAAGGATAAATCTCCAAAGCTCCGATACGCAATGGTCTGCTCCTCGAAACAGAATCGGAGCATGGAAGCTCACTCCCTCCTCCAGCGCAATGGCTTCGACGTCTCCTCCTACGGCACTCGGGCACATGTTAAGCTCCCGGGTCCATCGTACCACGAGCCCAACATCTACGAATTCAGAACCCCTTATCACAAGATGTACGATGACCTCCTCCGCAAGAACCCTGAATTGTGAGTGGAAAGCCGATTTTGCCCTTTTCATTTTCTTCATATCTACTGTTTTTGCCATTGTAAAGTTGGGACTTTTGTGGAGTTTTTTTAGGTACAAGCGTAATGGGATCTTGCCGATGTTGAAGAGGAATATGAGTGTGAAGCTAGCGCCTCAGCGCTGGCAGGATAATGCTGCTGATGGCCCCTTTGATGTTGTTCTCAGTTTCGAAGATAGGGTTTTCGATGCGATCGTTGATGGTAATTGGGTTTTTGTTTTTGTGTTTTTTTAGTTTTTTTTTAAAGCTGATATTCTGCGATTGGGTTTTAAATTTGATTGATTTATATGAGTTTTAATTTGGAGTTTTTATTTGAATTAATGTGCAATTCCGAGCTTTGATAGTTTTTAGAACTTGCTCTCGTGAGATAATGACAATTACAATTTCAGATTTTATAATCATGCCTAAGGGTATTAGCTGAAATTTGGTTGAAAAGATGCCTAAGGGTATTAGCTGAAATTTGGTTGAAAAGATGCCTAAGGGTATTAGCTGAAATTTGGTTGAAAAGATGCCTAAGGGTATTAGCTGAAATTTGGTTGAAAAGATGCCTAAGGGTATTAGCTGAAATTTGGTTGAAAAGATGCCTAAGGGTATTAGCTGAAATTTGGTTGAAAAGATGCCTAGAGATATAACCGTCTACGACTGAGCCTTTATGAATATTTGGTTGGTAATTTATAGTTTTGCTTCAATTTGCTTTGATGGATGGTAATTTATATGGAAGATTGATGAAGATTCTAGCAGATACCTATTCTCTTTTAGGGAATGGAATAATTTTCTGATAAAAAAAAATAAAACAGGAGATTTTGGTGGCTGACATAAATATAAGGCAGCAGACTAATGAAGAAAATAATAGATAATAACAGATAACACGCTGTAGAAATGGGATCTTAGGAGACAAGAAAAATAAGCATGGGGATATAAATTGAAATTTCATAAATATAAAAGAAAGACTTAAATCATTTCTAGAAATTGTCAAAGTGTCAACACGCCGATTTTGTAGTATTAGTTAGTAAGCAAGCATTGTTTTTGTTCTGTTTCGAACCTCCAACAGCTTATGCATGATGTACGCCGTGCAATGTCAGTGAAAAGCCTTGCTTACGTTCAAAACAAATTGATGGAAGTTGGTACTTTTTTGTTGTCTCCTTCTAAACATGAATAATGCTAACTGAATTATTAATTTTTCGGTACACATGATCAAAATATTTTCCAAGAATAAATACACATAATGCTTATATATCTTAGGACAAAAATAATGTATGTGGAAACACTTAAATGGTAGAACCATGTAATGTACGTGTGATACTCAATAGGAAATTTATATATTCATGTTCCAAAAAGTTAAATGATATATTTTGCATTCTCTATTAAAAAACGCCCTCAGATTTATATGAGAACATTCCTACTCATATTTAACTTTCAACTGGGTGTTGTTTTTGCTAAGTGTTTAGCTTACAATTGGCATGAGTTTAGCTTAAACACAAATGTCCTCTGCATTTCATATTGATCTATTTAACAATAGCTTTATTTTATATGCAAAGAAATTTGTTTAAACATATTGTTTAATATGCTTTATAATTTTAATTGTACAATAATAATATGTAATTAAAACTAAGATGAGGGATGTTCCAAGTGCAATGGTAAAAAAGAGACAAGGGCCGTGCTTGGCACGGGGTACAAATGTCCTCTTCAAAATTTCGACTTTTTCATATAATAAACTGATTTCTTAGTTTCGAAGGGTTTCGATCTTTAGCGTCAGGGTTTTGAAGCAGGGGACTCTTGGAATATACAATAAAAGTATCGGTTCTTTAATTTATTTCTCTCTTTGATATTTCGTGGTGATTGTCATTTTTCTATCTGGGTGTTCACGGTGATCAGTTTTCATAGTGAAAATCTTCGAGGTTTGCGATTTGATTTTTTTTGTAGATTTTGTATTCGCTTTCATCTCTCGAGATCATGGTGGAAACGAGGGCTTCTTCTGAACGGTCTCTTCTTTCAACCTCCTCCTCTTCATCAACTGTCTTCAAGCCCAAACACTCCAAAGATAAACAGTTACAAAAATTGAACATGTTACAAAAATTGAAGAATCCATGTCTCTGCCGGTGTCCGATCCTCCGTCGAGGGGCGACGAAAGCGGCGACGATACCGCAGTCGCCAAGGGATCGACGATGACCAAGAGAGGCGCCTACGCCGCCCTATCCTACATGACCTGCGCCGGTCAGTACTCTCTTTTATTTTAATTTCACTCGGCCCTCGGTTAATTTCTTCAAATTGTATATTCAATCTGTTCCAAAGTTTCAATCTATTTTGTTTATTCCTTGGTTTTTCTATATAAAGGCTGCAACTTTAATTCTTGAGGAGCTTAATTGGGCATGTCCTGTAGTCTTCTGTTTGCCCCGGGGGTTTTTTCCATAACCCTAAAACCCTTTCCCAATTTTGAATTTCCTCAACTAGAGAAACCATCTTCCACCTTCCATTTTTTTGTAGGATTTCTGCAATCAAAAAAAAAAAAAAAAAGAGAGCGCGAAATGGCCTCCACCGGATCCGATCGCCGTCCTCCGTGGCCACCGCGCCTCCTTCATGGACGCATGCTTCCACTCCTCGAGACCTCTTCTCTTCACTGGGTAAATCATTATCTAATCCAATCTCAATTCGATTCAGTCTCTCTTTCTTCTTCTTTTTCCCCCCCTCAGAAAAACCCTACTTTGTTGCTTCCAGCGCTGCCGATGGAGAACTTCGAGTTTGGGATACGGTGCGTCTTCAAGCCCAAACACTCCAAAGATAAACAGTTACAAAAATTGAACATGTTACAAAAATTGAAGAATCCATGTCTCTGCCGGTGTCCGATCCTCCGCCGAGGGGCGGCGAAAGCGGTGACGATACCGCAGTCGCCAAGGGATCGATGATGACCAAGAGAGGAGCCTACGCCGCCCTATCCTACATGACCTGCGCCGGTCAGTACTCTCTTTTATTTTAATTTCACTCAGCCCTCGGTTAATTTCTTCAAATTGTATATTCAATCTGTTCCAAAGTTTCAATCTATTTTGTTTATTCCTTGGTTTTTCTATATAAAGGCTGCAACTTTAATTCTTGAGGAGCTTAATTGGGCATGTCCTGTAGTCTTCTGTATGCAGCGGGGGTTTTTTTTTTTTTTAAGTTACAATATTTGACCTTGGCTGCTCTGGATGTATTTCGCAGTACTTCTGGTTATGTTCAACAGAGCAGCTCTGTCTTCATACAGTTTCCCTTGTGCTAATGTTATTACTCTCTTACAGGTATGCTATTTTCTCTCTGTGATGCCTGCTTTGTCTGATATATGCTATTAATGTATCTTATTTTTGTTCAGTTATTTCCAACTTTTGAAATAATTGTTTTTCTCATGAGATGTAGACTGCAATATTTAAGCACTTCTTGATTCTTATGTAACTTCTATTTTAGATGAAACCATAAAATATACTATTGACTTCTCAATTTTAATAATTTATTGATTTTGAGCCTTTTATTTCTGGATATACAATTCTCGAAAGATAAGGGGAGGATTTCGAGATCACTGAATTCAGAGTTTTTACTTCTTGAAGAGAAAGGGAGTAGACTTGCTAACTTTCATGTTCTTCCATGTTGATATAACACATCTTTGTACCATTATCTTCTCTTATAGAAAAAGTTCAGCAGAGAGATCTAAATGAAGAGGGTGAGTAACGTGAGTTTGCCTTTGTCATGGTCAGCTAGGTTGTGGCCTCCTACGCACTAGATACTTCATATAGTTTCACCTACTAGAATTTGTGTGATCTATCTTACCCTTTGAAGGAAATATGTTTTTAATGTTTGACAAAGAGGTTTTCATCTCAGTTTTTGGTATAACTATAAAGTATTTATCGAATCAAACTTGATCAAATATTTGGACAAATAATAACCAAACTGTTCATTAATCATGCCATTGATTATTCTAAATTTATGTAGATGTGAAAGTAAACTGTTTTATGTTTACTGAATTGAGTCACATGATCAAACATGGATATGACTATCATCATAGTTCCAGGCTTTTTCCATTGAAACGGGCAAGAAAGAATAACCTTTTTTATGTCAGGTAAGTTTTGGCTGATGGAAGTTTTTGTGAAAGCATCTTTACATGAGAATTTCTCCTTTTTTTGCTTTGATCCACCCTGATTTTTCTGCATAAGTTTGGTGGTAGAAGTTCCAATGTGACTGGCACCTGAAACATTGACGTGTTTTTGTTATGTTTATGCAGGCATTTCACATTTCGAAACGGTCATCCAGTAGCTGAAAGCTCAAGCAGAGGAGGAATCCAGACAAGAGGATGCAAATGACAAACCTACAAGTATATCATTATATCATAGGAGACTGCTAATGCAAATAAGGTCCCTTATCGGACTCTTATATTTTCAAGCAGAGGAGGAATCCAGACAAGAGGATGCAAATGACAAACCTACAAGTATATCATAGGAGACTGCTAATGCAAATAAGACAAGGGTAAATTAACAAACTCGAACTCTTATATTTTCATCAAGGAATATTCCATGAGCATGAAATAATACAAGGGTAATTTAACAACCCCCCACCCCCCAACAAAAAAAATACTTTGGTTAAATTCTATTAAAAAGATTGAATAGCCCTAAATAATAAAACATCTTCTGAATGCTTTGACAGTATATAGTATCTGAATGCTTTGAGAAAAACTAAGTTTTAAGGTATTATTTATAGTCTTAAATAATGTCTGTTTCTGGATGTACATTATTTGAGGACTTTTCTTTTATCCAAAATAATGGAGGAGTCGATGTACTTGATTTCCCAACTTACGAGTTGCCAAAATTGCAAGGCTGTAATGTTGTTATCGTTGAATAATGTTTTGTCACTTCCTCATCATTCTAATTCAACTTTATTTAGAGATCTAACTTTCGTTCAATTGATTCTTAAAGTATAAGATAATTATAAGATAAATTGCACGTGACAAACCACAAAAATGTTGTGGGAAAAAATTACGCACAAAAATAAACTATAAGGATGCCGTGCTTAGCACGGGATGAATACTAGTTATGTAATAGGGAGGGGACACCTCACTTGTCCCCTCCCTTGGTCCCATATTTTGGGTCATCGTAGCAGCACTCCATTGGACGACTCAGATATTCCTGAAAATAAATTTCCTACGGCTTAACACTTTAATGTACTACTTAAAGGTGGCTTACCAACTCAATTGGGCCAGGACCGATCCTGAGCATTTGGGGGCCCTAGGCAAAAACTTAAACAAAAATCCTAAAGGGGCCCTCCTATATTCAAGATTTTTTAAAAAATAAAGTGTTGTACTCATGTAACTTTAGGGCTGCTTATATACCAAGGGATGCTATAACTAATTCTAAGGATCAAACACAATGTAGTTCTCCTAAGCTACCCACCTTAGCCAAAGGCCTACAAATCACACCCTAATACTCTCATTCCCAAAACAAGATCAATGAACAGTATCACTTTATAAAGCCTCTTCTTGTATTTTTAGATGCAAAATCATTAATTACACTTGTATAATCAAGCTTCTCCACTATATTTTTCTCAATTGACAATATAACCAAGTCATTCAATCTTTCTTGTGACATAGTTGATCGAAGGTAAGATTTGATCAATTTTAACTTTGAAAAGCTTCTTTCAAAGACATATAGTAAAAACAAAGTATTTTGCATACACTTCAATATCCAATCATCATAAGATAAATCAAAATAGAACAAATACATATAGTAAAGCAGCTTAATTTGAAATGCACTTAGGATGCACTGTATAAAGAACAACCCATGAATGGAAATTAGCATACGGTTCTGCAGAGATAGATTAAAAAAATATAACAGAAAGTCAACACATGCATAGCAGTTAATTTGCCCATTGTCCCGCTATAGTTTGAGCTTATAATCACACATAAAAAAGTTATAATGTGCAAGCAGCATTAAAAATAGTGTCATGTGCATAATAAAGCACGATGAAAGTTATATACCATCAAAAAATTAGCATACTGTCTGCAGATAAATTATGAAGAAACAATGCAATCATTTGATGATAGTGGGGCCCTTGTTTTATGGGGCCCTAGGCGAAGGCCTCTCCGGCCTACCCCTAGGGCCGGCCCTGAATTGGTCCCATTGGGCGACTTACCCAATACTTCCGAGTAGCTCTTCAAATAGTCATCCGACAATAATTTTTAAGACAAATCCAATATTTTTTAGAAGTGTTTATTTTAGTAATTAAGATTTGTCCAGAATTCAGGGTTTGGATAGAATTATTGGCAATCGCCAAAAACTTCTAACGTGAAATTTATTCAGAGGGATTAATCGGCTCAAATCAAGATATTAGTTTGTTTCTTTCTTTATGATCTCCAAGTTTTGGTTTTTTGTTACCAGTACCCAACGAGAAAAGATTGCTAGGTAATCATAATTTCAAACGGGCATAAATCAAACAGATGAAATCTGATATTTTCAAAAAAAAAAAGTCCAATTGTTTTCCTGAACATTTACATCCATTTTCGTTGAGTAATAATAGAGAAAACACAGAACTAAATGCATCAATAACAAAGGCTAATTCTCCACGAACCATTAGATACATATATCGCAAAAAATATTCCCTCTGGAATCAAATGAATCAATACACAATTGAAGGAAACAAGGATTGAGTCATAGAGTTTCCACATAACTTTAGGTTCAAGGCTCTACCAAGCCTCCACTGGGGCAAAAAGATCTGGTATCTTATTTAAAATTCATAGTCTTGCTCCAAACAAATATATAGCTGAAGCACCTAAAACCCCATGGCTTTCTGAAGCTTTTCAATTTGATTTACAAAGATCCGTACCATCTGCAAAATCTCAATCAAGAGCTAACAAGAACGCAAGAAAAGAAACAGGTTATGCTTATGGGC